GGGGGATGGAGCCCCCTGGGCAGGTCCTCCTTTTCTGAGACCCGTCCTCCATTCCGGTCTTCTTTCCAGGAGGCATGCCCAAAGTGTCCTCCCTTTGGAGCGTGATGAACTGGCATGATGGATCTGTCTTTCGAGGGCTGAGCTTTTGCCTGGCCGTGCTTTTACACTTTCCTTGAATATCCTTGAGAAGTGCCTCATCCTCCTTGGCACATCTGAGGCGGGAGGGTTGAACCCCAGGGAGCAGCCGTCCTCCTTTTCCAGGACCTGCCCTCCACTCCCACCTTCTGCCCAAGAGGAACGTCCAAAGTGTCCTCCGTTTACAGTATGAAGCACGCATTTATTTGGCCATGCCTCACACTTTCCTTGAATGTCCTACATTTTTGCGGTGCCTTGTCCTCCTTAGGCCCTCTGGTCACCCTGAGGCGGGAGGATGGAACCCCATGGCAGGTCCTCCTTTTCTAAGACCTGTCCTCCATTCCCACCTCCTTCCCAGGAGGCATGCCCAAAGTGTCCTCCCTTTGGAGCATGATGGACAAGCATGCATCTGTCTTTCGGGGAGCGTCTTGAGCTTTGTTTGGCCATGCCTTACACTTTCCTTGAGGAATGTCCTACATTTTTGCAGTGCCTTGTCCTCCTTAGGCCCTCTGGTCATCCTGAGGAGGGAGGATTGGACTTTGAAAGAGTGGGATGGGATATTGGAGGGAACCCGGTGCAAGAGAGACGCCCCCATTCCGACGAGGGATGTATGTGTTGTGTGTTGTGTGCTTTCAAGTCGTTTCTGATTTATGGCAACATCCTGGGGTCTGTATTATTGTTAGCTGCTTCGATCTGTTTGGAAAGGTGGGATATAAATAAATTGTTGTTGTTGTTGTTGTTGTTGTTGACAAAGTTTGTTCAGAGAAATCATGCAGTTTGACACTACTTTTGAGGCTCCGTCTTATGGGATGTGTGGATTTGTAGTTTGGCAAGCTCTTTCTCCTCCTCTGCCAAAGGGGACTGGTGCCTCGCCAAACTACAAATCCCAGGAATCCGTCAGATGGAGATAAAGTGGTGTCCAGTGGCATTATTTCCACAGCATAAATGCAGCCTTTTCAGGGTGATTCTGACTCAGCAGGGACGGGAAAAGTTCATCACATGCCCAGAGGCACACTTCTTCTTTCCGGCTTTAGTTCACATATATCATTGACAGAGGGATCTGGGATGTTAAGATCGAAAGGGTGCAGCTAGTTATTCTAGATTATTATCCACTGTGTGTCACCGTCTGAATAGGGATGGATAGGTTTGGGTGACCTTGGACAAGTCACACTCTCTCAGCCTCAGAGGATGGCAATGGCAAAGGCAAACCCCCTCTGAAGAAATTTGCCAAGAAAACTACATGACAGGGTCGCCTCAGGGTCTCCATAAGTCAGAAACGACTTGAAGGCACACACCAACAAGAACAACAGGTTGAGATTTGCAGGTTTTGGATGGATTTCTCCCCTCAACCTGTTTCTGCAAAGATGGAAAAAGGACCTGACTTGTGCCTATTGATCACAGGACACCATTTGTGGGTTTGATGTGCCAAAGTTAGGAGAGAGATGGTTTGGTGTGCCAGTGGACATTGTGCTCTGAATAAGTGTTTGGAGTTGGGAGGAGGGTGTGTCCAAGTATTCTTAAGCAGACTTAAACATATGGTACACTTTCATGGGAGTCAACCCCATTGATCACAGTGGGACTTTCTTCTAGGGCTGCATCCGCACAGCAGAAATAATCCATTTTAAAGTACTGCAGTGGCTCCAAGCTATGGAATTCTGGAAGATGCAAAATGTAGTTGCCAGAGTTCCATAGCATGGAGCCATGGCAGTTAAAGTGGGGTCAAAACGGATTATTTCTGTAGTGTGGATGCAGCCTAGGTTGACATTTAGGATTATGTTGTGTGGCTGAGTGGAGATGCTCCCAGAAAATGGGTCTGGAGTGTTGAAGATATGTGTGTAGTTCCTTCAAGTTGCTTCCGGCTTATGGCAACCCTTTCGTGGGGTTTTCTTGGCACGTTTCTTCAGAGGAGGCTTGCCATTGCCATCCTCTGAGGCGGAGAGAGTGCGACTTGCCCATGGTCATCCAGTGGGTTTCCATAGCTGAGCTGGGATTTGAACCCGAGTCTCTAGAGTTGTAGTCTAGCACTCAAACCACTAAGCCACACTGGCTTTACACCCCACTGGTTAACCTCCCTTCCTCACCCCATATTATCTATGAGGAGGTAGGTCATTGGAGTTTATCATACGGGGAAAAATTGGAAGTTTAAAATGGTAAGAACTCATGATTAACTCACAATTGCACAAATGGCTTTCATACGCAAAGCGGTGTTATCCCATGCAGAATTCAAATGTGGGAATGGTTTTCACACGACAGGACCAAATGTGCTTCCATCCCGATAATGATTAAAGTGTGATGGTATAGTTGGGGTTCTTTTGTGCTGGGACACTTATTGCCTTGACATTTCAGTTGAAAGGGCAAAACTGTAAAAGACTAGAAGAATTGAGATCTGTTTGTCATCCCACACTGATGCATCTGAGGAAGTAGACTGAAGTCTACGAAAGCTCACGCTGCCA